CAGACAATGACTGAAACTATGACTAGTACAGGCTTATGCCACATTACATTGAAACTGGTTCCGTACAATCATCAAAGTTAAGCAATGTTAAGCCTGGTCAGTACCTAGATGGGTGACCATTTGAAAATACCAGGTGCTGTAGGCTTGAACGTGAAGATGGCATAATGGATAATGGCTCAGAATTGTTAACTGCAGAGCAGAGTTCTAATTCCCATCAGGTTTGTTATATTCACTTACAAGCAAATACTCTTGAGAAAGGTATGAATTCACCTCTAAAGCTATGGGTTAATTAATAATACTTGTATCACTAAACCATTATTATCTCAAACAAAAAGAAAAATAATACAATCCAAACATTTTCTGGCTTTAAATAACCTGATTGATAAAAAAATAGAAAATGAATCAACCAACCAATATGAAATCATACCTATCCTTATATACACTTCATACATAAACAATGCAGATGAAGAAGTTTAATTAATAAATTACTGAAGAGATGAAAAATAAAAGAGCAATTATAACAACAGAATGTAAGAAGAGTTACATGATGCGTAGAAGATTCATTCTTACCAAACACTTTTTTCTTCGTTTATCGTGACTTTTCTATAAATACTTTCATGGTAATTGTTCTGATGAACTTTCCTCTTTAGTAACTAAACTTTATGAATTTAAGTGGATTACTAGATTGGCAGCTAGGTCTCTTTATTTTACAGTTGAACTTCTATACTAATGGTTTACCTCTTGCTTGTGGAACTCTTCCAGCTTTTGTCAACTTCCATCTTCAAAAATTTAAATCGTTATCTTCTGCCTTTTTAATTCTTGTTCTTTTATTATTCTCTCTCCTTAATATTGTTTCCTTTTCTCATTCTCTAATATTCATGTGTCTTAGTGGCTTTATTGCCTTGCTTGGGCTGAAAGGATAAAAATAAAAAAAATAAAAATAATTATATCAAGATCTTAGTTCTTCACTCGTAAGAGTACTTTATGGCTATTCTTTGGCGTATTCAAGTTCCTAGCATCATTACCCTTGTGTTTTGTGACCATTATCAAGCTACAAATTATATTTCAGGTTAAATGTGGATGAAAAAGATGGCATTGCTATCCTATTATTATTATCTTATAATTCTGCTTACCCCGTACATGTTATGCCCTGCCAATACCTCATGAGCAAGGAACTATTTTATTTTGATCATATGGAAAGACAGAAAAGACGCATCAGAGACACTACTTGGTTTCAGTGAGAAAATTAAAGAAAAAAATGAAAGGAAAGATAGAAGTCTAACATTTAACATACTTCAGTGAAATGGAAAAAGTTGCCAATTTCAAATCTTTTTCATTTTTACGCATTTCTTAAAATAATGAGCAGTATTCATATTTTTAATTGTTATTGCAATAAGAGACAAAAAAAACTTCAGAGATGAAGAAAGAATACGGAACTGTTACGTGATATCTGTCCCATGGCAGCAAATGTCGGACAATCTCCTCAAAGATGAAGAAAGGACTTGAAGCAACAGAAATGCAACAAAAGATGCTGAGGATACCATGGACCAAACATATGAGCAACAACAAAGTTTTAGAGAAAACGGAAACAAAATAGAAACTCATACTTAACAACAGGAAGAAGCACCATAATCAGAAGACACATTGGGATAGTGAAATATGCCTTCCAAAAAGCTAAGCAAAGTATTAGGAAACAGAAAAAAATATTAGAGACAAAGAAAAGAATTCTGAACTGTTACGTAATATCAGTCTTCCTGCACGGCAGTGAATGCTGGAAAACCTCCTCAAAGATGAAGAAAAGACTTGAAGTGTCAAAGATGTCGTTCTGCAGAAAGATGCTAAGGATACCATGGACTGAACATGTAATCAATGACAAGGTTTTAGAGAAAATGGAAACAAAACAAACTTATACTTAACATCAGGAAGAGAGTCGAAATTTCTGAGGCACATAATGAGGAAGGAGGGCTCGGAAAATCTGATACACACAGGAATGAAAAGCAGCACACTTAAAAAGGGTCAAGGAGAAATAGCAAAAAGACAAACCTTATTAAGAGCTACAAAGGACGGGAAGATGTGAAGGGCCATAAATGTATACATTCTGAAGGAACATAGCACATAAAAGAAGAGATTGCAACACTGTTAATGTTAAGCTCAACTATTTAACAATGTGAAAAAGAAATTAATTTCTGTGGATATTTTATTGTAGAACTCACCATGAGCTTATTTGATCATTAACTTAAGAATTAAAATTTTTCAAAAAAATTAAATATAAAAACAGTGCCATTTTCACAGATATTTCTAGTTAATCAGGTTTCTATTTTGGGAGGAGCAAGTAGTGTAATGGTGATCAACATAGAAAATAGAATTGTCAAGCAGAAATCCAATTCTCAAAAGCTGTTATATTTAATTTACACAATCTTGAAAGGCATGAATTTATCTTCCCTAGTCGTGAGTTAAATAGAAAGGCAAACTATAGTCTAGCTTTAGGTGGCAATCAATCTAGAAAGAAAAATCTTTATTCAAACCTCCATTGCTTTGTCGATATATCATAGAAAAGTCTATGAAAGTAAATCAAGACAAAACTAGAATTGTCCTTAAGTTGGTTGTGAAGATTAATTTTGTTTTAGCAACTCTTACAGTCAAGTTAGCTTGAACATAATACCCTGTGCATTCATTGGATCATGTCAGTTTGACTGAGTCGGGGAGCTTTAGAACATAATTATTCATTATAATGAATGCTAAAGCATAACCGTCAGCCATAGCAGTTAAACTCAAAAGAAAAAAAATAAATATCAGTAATGGATAGCTACACACAGTTTTTTTGCCTTGCCAGTTGCACCCCTCATAATGATCTTAGAAAGAGCTGGAAAGTACTTGGGTAATAAAAGTGATTCTCATTGTAACAGTGCATTTCTTGCATCATTTGATTGCAATATACAGAAAAATATTTGCGAATATGAAGGGATTATGATCAAAATAAAACCGACATAACATTTGTAATTTATTTAATCTGATATGCCTAAAAAAAGAGAATTTTCTATATAATCTCTTGACTGGTGTTATTATTCTCTCACAAGACGAGCCTGAAAGAGTTGGAATTGAAAAAATAAAAAATAAATTGCAGCACTCATGTTTTTATAATCTATGATGGTTAAATAAGTATCAATGAATTGAAGATAAAAGATAATGAGAATCCATGATGGACACCAATTTGAGTGACAACTGCAAATATTACATGTAATTCAACAGTAGACGAAAAAGTCAATCCAACAGGGGTGTCTTTATCTGGTTGAACTTTTTAAGAGAAGAGATAGTCATGAATATGCTCTTTAATAATCAGACATCAATTCACATTGCATCAAAATGGCTTAGGGAGGTTATGGTAATCCTAGATTAGTTATTCTTTTCTCATTTGTTTTTTTCAAAAAAGTTGACATAATACCTTCTGAAATTCTTAGAAAGTTTGAAAAGTATGTTCCTGTTTTATAGAAGAGTACTTAATTTATTTTTCACCTCCCAAAATTAGGATTAAAAAAAAAACAAAACAAAAAAACCCTTATTAAGAGCTACAAGAGAGAGGAAGATGTGGAGGGGGATATGCATCACAAATTGTGTTTCAGTGTCATTCTTCCTTCAATTTGATACAATTGCCAGAAATGGGCTATCATGGATGCTAATACCGAATCATAATCAACACATAGATTTTAAGCCCAGAATTTACTATTTTATTTCTCAATATTTCTTATTAGTCGTCTGGACCAAGTCTACATCACCAATGAATTTAATGATTGGAACTAATTGGCTTGTGAATCAAGTTTATTATGACTAAAATAAGAAACTGTTGAATAAGAAGAGAACATATTGCATCTTTGGAAGCATTTTTCTTCTCTCTTCCTTCAAGTATAGGAGTAAAAAATATCCACATGTATTGAATGAAGGGTTCAGTTGAAAATGGCAAGCATTTTACTGAATGACAGATGCTCGAAAGGTCAGAGAATACAATGACCAAAACATAACTGTAATAATGAAAATGAGGACAACAGTTAAAAAAAAAAAAAAAAAAAAAAAAAAAAAACACCAAAAAACAAACAACTCCAAAAGCTGTATTTGATTCAGTCCAAAATGGTATTTTATTGTCAAATAGAAAATGTGTGCGTTTAAAATTTCTCAGAATTAACCTGTAGAAAAAAAAACGATATATATTAAGGAAAAAGACAATAGGAATTTATCTATAAACAACAAACAAAATGTCGTTAGCAACTAGAAGAATTTAGAAATGCTATTGTATATTCATTTGGTCAACTAAAAAATTATGTCAATTACTTTGTTTGAAGAGAATATTTTCACATCAATTGAAAAATATAGTTCCCCCCCCTAACATTACCTTTCCTAACAGAATTAATACTCTCTTCTCCTAAGCCAGCATACACCACAAATATATCAAGAAATCAAGAGAACAGTTGAAAAAAAAAAAAAAAAAAACCCAAAAAACAGTTGAATCCGACAACACAATACAAATAATATTTCTACATGTGAAAATGTTCTCAAGGTAATTGACACAATTTTTCAGTTGACCATATGAATATACAATAGCGTCTCTAAATTTTTGATGTTTATAAATACTTTGTTTCAATAAATTCATTTTCATTTTATTTTTTGCCTTGAAAAATCCACATTGGACAAAATGCATCGACTAAAAGTAGTTTTCTATTGCCCTTTTCATATATATACGAAACATTTCAAATAGTGTAATGGAAGCAGTTACACAATGATGTCCTGAGTTTTGATTGTATCAACATTTATTTTTTTTTTAACATTATCAGTTTGTAACACAATTTACTTTCTTGGTTACTTATTGCCGAGGTTTAGACAAGGCAAGTCAAAAGTTATATGCCACAATTTTGTTATCTGAAATAATGTAGAGTAGGGAATGGTGAGAGGAGCTTAGTATGGCCAAGTTTAGCATTTGGCTTGTAAGAGTGGTTAAATATTTTCTTGCCCTAAAAAAATTTGCTGTAAGATATAATGGGTACCATAATTTCGAGGAGAGAAGAGAGAAGAGAGGAGAAGAGGAGAGAAGAAGAGAGGAGAAGAGGAGAGAAGAAGAGAGGAGAAGAGGAGAGGAGAAGAGAGGAGGAGAGAAGAGAGAAGAAGAGAGGAGAAGAGGAGAGAAGAAGAGAGGAGAAGAGGAGAGAAGAAGAGAGGAGAAGAGAGAGGAGAAGAGGAGAGAAGAAGAGAGGAGAGAGAAGAAAGAGAGGAGAAGAGGAGGAGAGAGGAAGAGGAGAGAGAGGAAGAGGAGGAGAGAGGAAGAGGAGGGAGAGGAAGAGGAGGAGAGAGGAAGAGGAGGAGAGAGGAAGAGGAGGAGAGAGGAAGAGGAGGAGAGAGGAAGAGGAGGAGAGAGGAAGAGGAGGAGAGAGGAAGAGGAGGAGAGAAGAGAAGAGAGAGAGGAGAGGAGAGAAAAGAGAGAAGAAGAATTCTTCAATACCAAGCTATTGTGTTGGTTTGATTGGATACTTAAAATGTTGGCTGGTGAATTTTAACTGGTTTCTGTTAAGCCAAATTTCTTTACAGAAGACAGCTTCAATTCTCCAAAACCGATCGCAATTCAGAGATCAGACAGAGAGAAGATATCAAATATCTGACAGAGGCTCACAGACAAGTGACATATTCATAATGTCAGGCTTCTGAAGTCATTTAAAAATATGAAACATAATATAGGGCCCTTTTTCCAGTTTGTCATTCAATTATGCACTAAAATTAATTTTCAAATATAAAACTAGGTAGAGCATACAGACAATACCCCCATAGATGGCCAAAGTGCCAATCTACATGTTAGTAATATCATCTTCAGTATTAATAATATTAAGAGCTTTTCGGTGATTTTCATGAAGCCAGTCAAACAAATGTGTCCATGTGTGTGTGTGTGTGTGTGTGTGTGTTTTTTGAGTATTTTGGAAGACTCATTGGCAGAGAAAAGGCACAATGGATTGTGAATAAATGAGAAAATGGTATGGAAAAAAAAAAAAGGTAAGGTGTCCAACAATAAAAAAGAAAAAAGAAAAAAAAGGGCATTTAAGCCGACACATTGTCCATCATTCCAAGGTAGAAAGATGCAGATATTCAGTAATTCTTACACAAGCAACACCAATTGGCAGGAAATTAACCCAAACAGGTGAAAGAAAAAGTAAAAGATGACAACTGTTATGTTTTATGAGGTGACCTTGTAAGATACTGGAAGATAAACACAAGACGAGGCAGATTATTTCATAAATAAAAATAAATAAAAATAAAAAATAAATATAAAAATAAAAATAAAATAAAAAATAAAATAAAAAGTATAATCAAAGTAAAAAACAAAAGAAACAGAAAATGAGTAAAAACAAAAAGTCAACAGTTTGATTACAGTCAATTTTATTTATAGCAGAAAATATTTTTTTATTTCATTTATTGAGTATTACTGATTAAGAAAAGGAAATTAGGTTAAGAATTAACTTTGTACACAACATAAAATTTAATGTGAAACTAACGAGAAATAAGATGAAAGTGTTTTAAAAAGGGGGAGAAAGAGAGGGGGAGTGAGAGAGAGAGAGAGAGAGAAAGTGTGTGTGTGTGTGTGTGCAGACCCCACCCCCCACCCCTGTAGAAAAATGCCCAACACAAAGACTTCCACAGAAAAAGAGGAAAGGATTGTCGGTCCCCCACATCATTTGTGTACAGATATGTTTCTCATTAAAAGAGTGTAAGGCAAAAATGAAAGCCCTGAAAAAGATTTTGTTTCAATATTAGCAAACCAGAATCATGCCAGGGTTTTATACCCAAATGTGCATACTTCAAGTAAAAGATTCCATCCAAAAACATTCAAACACAAGTTGCTATTATGTTTCTTCTCACCACATTTAAATTGTAGGGTGTCTATTAATAAAGTAAAAAAAAAAAAAAAAAAAAAAAAAAAAGATTTAAAAATTGTAAAAGATTTCACAGCAGGCCAGGAATGAACAAAAGTTTTACTTCAATGTGTCATTTTAGTCTTCATTCTTAAAGCTGAGAGATTGAAGATATACAAGTGGGTAACAAAGTTTAAAATGACCCCCCCCCCCCAACAACCTGTTCAGTAGCCAATTATTTGAAAGCAAAAACTGAGATTGCTATTTAGAGCAATTTCATTGGCAGACTTTCAAATAAATATTTAACATGATATTGCGTAGTTAGAAGTTTTTTTTTGTATATTTCATATACAAATATTAGAAAGAAGCAAGAAAGATGGATAAGAGCAGGGGGAAAGGGATGAGAAAAGCAATTTCATTCAAATGCATACCATTTTGTAACCTTTTGCTTTTATAGAGATTTTCCTCTCCCAAATCACAAAATAGAAGCTTTAGTTTTTAACACTGGCAGTTTAAAAAAAAATTTAAGATCATAGAAGTTTTCACATAAAGAGAAAGTTTGGAGGGATATACAATCTTAAATGAAAAATACATACAGGAATTTTTCAATTATAGGAAAATGGATTTGAACATAATGGATAAAAAAATAAAATATAATTAAGGAAGATTTTTTTTCTCTTTAAAATGAAAAATATTTCATATTAAAAACAATATGGAGTGACATGATTAAACAAAAATGATGACTTCAACTAAGTACTGAATATGACTCAAAATGAAGTTGAGAAAGACAAAGAAAAATATTTTTAAAATTGTATTCCAGTATTTGTTTATCTATTTTGTTTAATAAGTAATGGTCCAACACCATTAACTATACTCCCCAGAAATTCAATGTCGGAACAAATGCATCATGGGTAAAAAGAAAAAAAAAAAAAAAAAATTGACTGGTCAAATTATGTTTAAGAACCATTAATAACAAAATGAAATTACAAATTACTGTTCATTTCATTAACTAATGATTAAATCTAACTTGAAAAGAATATCTAATGTACACCAAACTAAAAGAATAATTTTTGTATTAAGGATAACAAAAATATTAACTTTAATATTTTTTTTTATTAACAAATTCATCAACTGAGTATCAAACAAAAATGTCAGGGATACATTCAAGTTGGAAGATGTTTTGAGCAAAGAGCTAAGTAAAAATCTCTTCCAGAGTCAAATAATATTTTAATTAAGTTTGAGAACAAATGAATTCTTTAATGTCATAAAGTAACAAAGCCTGACTTGATGGGGGAGGAGTTAAGGCGGGGGTGAAGGGGAGGGGGTGAAGCCAACATTAGCGCAGAATTTAAATTGGGTAAACAACTAAGTTCAGCTTCTTGATAGGATATATTTTTCACAAAAAGAAATAAAATAGGTTTCAAAGAAAAAGTAGCAAAGAATAGTTTTTTTTTTAAAATGTTTGTTTGAAATACAAAAGAACCTTGATAGAAAAATATTTTGCCAATGTCTATGAAATAAAATAAAAGTATTCTACAAAACTTTCATTTTATTGAATATCGTCTCAAAGTTTTGCCATAAAAAAAAAAAAAAAAACTAAATTTTAAACAATGACATAATATTTTTCAAGATGTAAAAATTCTATTGGCAGAAATTTTTCCCTTTTAGTTTAGTTTTTTCTTGACGTAAAAGGAAACGGTTTTCTCTATCAAAAGTTTATGAACTACAACAAAAACATAAAACAGTATAACAAGAAGGGGAATAACAGAAAATAAGAAAACAATCAGCAGATAGCAAAGGGAGATAACTCGGGTTAGAAAAATATCATCAACCATTTTGTAAAAGACATGCATTTTTTAAATGAAACCTTACAGTAATTATTGGAGAATACAATTCTTAATAAATCTATCACTCAATCTTTGTTTTAATTTATAAAAGAATTTAATAAAGTAACCATTTAAAGTAAGAGTAACCATTTAAAGTAAGAGTAACCATTTAAAGTAAGAGTAACCATTTAAAGTAAGAGTAACCATTTAAAGTAAGAGTAACCATTTAAAGTAAGAGTAACCATTTAAAGTAAGAGTAACCATTTAAAGTAAGAGTAACCATTTAAAGTAAGAGTAACCATTTAAAGTAAGAGTATGAAAACGGAAAAGTAGCTTTTTAAACAGTAATTTTAAATTAATTATATAATTTGCCTAAAACAACGATATAAATTCAACTGTATGGAAGGATAATTTCACTAGTATAAATTAAAAGTTGGGGACAAACTAGACAACAAAATATTGACAGTCTTCAATATTTTCCACCCTAAATAGTAAATTTTTTTTCTACTATCATGAAACTATAAGGTGAAAATAAATTAAGCTGTTGAATACTGTACAAGCATTATTGAAAATTACAAAATCAAATAGGGAAAAAGGTGGTTCCTATGAGCAACAAAGGGTCTTCTACATTTGCTTGATTTCATGTTAGACAAGCAATTCTAAAAATAGTGAAATTTACCCAAAATTTCCAGGGATAGTGTATGGGTAGCAAATGGTCAGCTTCCCAGGTTCAATAGGAAGAAAGAAAAAGACGTAAATATATAAGCTCCTTTTTATAAAATGAAGACAAATTTTTCTTTTTTGTTGACAATAAAACTGACTAATTTCTACAGATTGTTTTCTTGGGGATTGTAAAATAAAACAGAAATCAGCTTCAATTCTCAAGGGCAGAGTCTAAGGCAAAGAGCAAAAAAAAGAAAAAACTTCTAAAGTCAATGGGGAGGAGGCGGTCTCCATCTGAGACGAAATTTAAACACACTAAAAAGACAGAAAGGAAAAAAAAAAAAGAAAGAAAAAAAAAGATAACTTCCTTTTCTTAAAAAGAGAAAAATAATCTGCCTTAAATTCTGCCCTCAAATTGCTAATAGATTTTTTTTATTTCTTAAGTAATATATGAATAAACATTAAAACAAAATAAAACATTATCAGAACATAGGATAGAAACCACAAGGTCTACAGTTGAAGCCATTTATTTCAGGGCTGATTACGAGCTTTCACCAAAGAGAAGGAAAACAAACTTTATAAAAAAAAAAAAAGCTTGCTTCCTTTCCATTCAGCTAAAGAAAAAAAAAAAAAGAAAAAAAAAACTGTAGAAGCCACACAAACCAAATGTGTGTTATCAAATATAGTCTGATAACTCTTACTAGACATATGTATTTTTTTTAATGGCAATCAATATACAAAAATGCACATTTCAAATTGGAAGGAATTAGGAGTTAATTATAAACAGGTCAAAAAGTAAGAAAATAGAATTAATGCAAATGGCCAATGAAAAGTTTCAGGAATTTAAAAACAGAATATAGTTTTGACTGTTGTGCACACTTTTGTGAGCCAACAGGCAAAGAGGTCATGTTCTTGGTTGGCAAACAGATTTTAGTAATACAATGATTTTCATCTCAATCTAAATTCTTAATTTCAAATTCCCACAACTTTTGAACAGGCCCTTGGGTAGCAGTAGAACCTTATAATTCCATCCGTTAGACCCCAATTGTTCATTTTGTTTGGTATCCTTCAACTGGAAGGATTTCGGATGATCTTGTTTTGTCTATTTGTATTGAACTTGTAGAGCTTAAAATGCTCCCCCTCTTTGAGTATTTTCTTTGCAAAAGGGTTTTTTTTTTTTTTTAACTGAATAGTGTGTGATAAATCCTATCTATAAGGAGGCCTCCATGCAGCAATTATAAATTCCATATGGAATTCAGATGCAATTTGGGGGAGGGGGGAGAGAGAGAGAGGAAAAAAAAAAAGGACAGTAGGAAAGAGTTCATGATTTCAGACTCATCTCCAGTTTTCTGGCATCAATCAGATGGTAGTCAGAAGTAAAAACCCAAAAGGAGGAGAGGAAGGAAAAAAAGAAGAAAAAAAAAAAGGCACTTTTTTATTTAACCCTATTCATTGGTATAAAGGGTCATTTTATTTCACCCCCCCACCTCCACTCCCTACCTTGCCAAAAGTAAACTGTTTGCCCCAGTTTTAGCTTGGGTAGAGTAGTGGACTGAGACTTCCTTCTACTCTTCTTCATCATCATCATCACCACTCTTCAGAACGGACCAAGTTTCTGTTCACCTTGCGACTGTTTGGAGTTGCTGGTAATGGTTCACCTCTCATGATGGCACCAACCTCAGAGTGTTTATTTTTGTTGAAATATTCCATTGCTTCGGGCTTGGTGCGACTTGGAGACACCCGACCACGACTCACGGTATTGTTGGCACCAGAACTAAATCAAAATAAATTATGTTTTAAAATATTTAGCAAATTTAACATTTCATGAATTAAAAAGGTAAAGTAAAGTACACATGCATCACGAAAAACATCTAAAGAGCTGTCCGGAAATATTAGTAAGAAAGTGGCTTCCATTTTTAAAAAACAATCTTCAGATGTGTAGGAAATAGTCGGCAAGACACGGGAAACCTATCTTAGTTTTACTACTTTCATTAATCAAGTATTTGAATATTGAATGATAGATATCAACAACATTCAATACTTGGGATTTCAATGTACAACAAAATATTAAAAAAATTAAACAGACCTTGTAGGTTAAATTGAACAAAACTTAATTTATACTGCTTATTTTCTTTTCCGTTCAGTTTTTGGTTATCTCTTGGGGTAGTCTTAGAACATTGTTTATTAAGGAGGCAATTATGGGAGTCAAAAATGTCAGCTGGGCTGCAGACTCTGGGTTAGAGAGAAAGAAAAGCTCTTTTAAAGAAATATTAAGTTTTTGTTGTTATTTACATTTTATCTTGGGCAAAAATTTAATTTAAAATTTATCATTAATACTGTACACTGGGTACCCTGCACTTATTAACCTTTACTAAGCTTAGTAAAATACCTATCTTAATTTGTTGGTTTTTCTGCAGGAAAAGTGGGAAATTATCTACTTACTTATTGTATCCATTCAGAAAATTTCCATTTCTCTCAGTCATCACCCCACTATGGGCTCTCTGCGTGGACTTGTGATTGCTCTTGTTGTTGCTGCTGCTGCTATGGTTGTAGTGGTGGTGGTTGTTGTTGTTGGTAGTGGTGGTGGTGCCATTTACTGTAGTGTCATTGCCCATGCCCATGATTTCCTTCATGGCCGAATTGTTGTAACGAGCCAGAATCTCCTCAGCCTCAGGACGGATACGAGATGGTGGAGGAATCTCATCCCATCTATACAATACAGGGGAGGAAGAAAAATAAATAAAAATAAAGTTTGTATAAGTTTGCCAATGCTTCAACAATTAACCAAATTAAAAAAAAAATAAAGTTTACTTAAAAGTGAAAAATGCATTTGTTTGTAGGGCGTGTCTTATTTTTCTGACTTTAGGTCACCACTCCATATAAATATAACCTACCTGTGTTACATGGCTGGGGGTCAAGGGTAACTAAACTGGTTCCCCCACCAGACTTTTCTCATGATGAGGGTGTCTAGAGCCACATCAGGATTAAAAATAAGACTTGTCAAAGGCCAAGTGAATCTTTTTATAGAGTCAATGGCCATCTAGCACAATGAGATGTGCTGTTCAGCAATGGCACATCATAGCTGAGCAGAGGACATCTTAGACTGAAATCAACGATCAGGGTGGAATCCTATCCAGATTGAATCAATGGCCACATTCCTTTGACCAAGGCTAGCTTTTAAGTTGGAGAACATCAGTTGTAGTTTACCCTAGAAAGAGACGGGCTCTTGCCCAACACATGCTATGCTTATCTCTCTGGTTTTCAACCGAAATAAACGGATGGAACTGATCAGGTGCTCAATTGTATGGTGACCCTGCAACCACATCCAGTCATGAGACTGATGATGATTACTTTTCGACAGTTCAAAAGGTCGAGAGGGTATAGAGTCAAAAGGTGATGAAAACTTACTTCAACTTATGAGCAGATCATGGGACAGCTCAAGTATGGATAACTACAAATGATAAAAATCTGATATTATCCACATTAGCAAATGTACATTTCCAACATTTAAAGCATTGTCCAGATGGGCAACACTAAATAAATAAAAAAAGACAACCAATAAGTTTTTGGCCTGACCAAGAAGCCTTTTGGAAAAAAAAATATCTCAATGTTAGGTTATTTGGCCAAATTTTGGGAGATGAGCCAAGCCAAGAATTTTTTCTAACACCCCCACATAATCAGGTGGTTAGCCTTATAACTATCTACACCTATTTCTAATCCAGGTGATATTGAATCAAAGACAATTTTTTTTTGAAAATGTAGGTTTTAATGTCTTTTTTTGTAAAATTTTTTTCAGATACTCTTAAAATCAGTACAATCTATATATTGATAGTATATGGTTCTTGGCATACCTTTCAGACTGCAGGTTCTTCATTTTGAAAGAGAAAACAATGGGTAAGGTGAGTATGGCCAATGTGATATCCTAACTAGGACTATTCTCTTCTCTTTCTATATCTTGGAGGCCATCCTACAATGATGGGTTGGATTTTTTGAAGCTTGCTTTCTATGCACTTATTCCATGACTGGCCATTTGTTGGCAATAGATTTGCATTTGGTTTCTTCAAGTCTGTGTCAGGGATTTTTTGTTTGATATACAGAACTTTTTTGGTTCTTTTATCATCTGCTCTTTATTTTTTTTTATCTGTCCTTTCATTCACATGAATTTCAATGTGATCGTTTATATTAAACTAACAGCTGGTATAAAATCAATTAGAACATTTAAAAAAATATATATATATAAAAATTAAGCATTTTAGTCTTACAAGTGTAAAATTTGATAAATATACAATTTAAAATACACTTATGCAGAATAGCTCTGCACTATTCAATACCACTCAATGGCTTACATTGTCATTGGTTTTTAAACAAACAAGAACAAGAAATTTGATCACTGCCAGAAGGGAAAACATGCAGGTGTGCAGCCAAAATATATACCAACATAACTTTGCACCTGGTATTTATACCATAACAATCCAATTTTTGTATGTTTGTCACCATAACAAATAGCACATCATAGCAATATTTTTGTTAGGGCAATACTGTAGGGGAGGGGGAGAGAAAAGAAAAACAAAGAGGGTTCTAACTTAGAAAATAAAGCAATTTCCAGGACAACTGAGCAACCAATTTCTAGAGTAATTTTTAATTAGGTATAAACTGTTACACAGATAATCTTACAAGAAAGATAACCGCAAATCTATTAACTGCTAACTACAGAGATATTTCTTTTAGGAAAAGAAAGGAAGAATTCTTGACCCATTTGCACTCTCCTGTCAGCAAACAGCATACCATTGACAATACACTAATCTTTAATAATAATAATAATAATAATAATGTTGATTAGTATTTACAAATTATATAAATCTTCAAAGTAGGAAGTAAATTAACAACAAAAAATCACTCCAGAACATTTTGAATTTGCCTCACATAGTAGACCATATAAATATTCAAGGTTATACAATATGTGAGTGGAGAGTTTTTCAGAGTTAGGTGGAATAGATCGACAATTTGGGGAGGAGAGGGGGAGAAAAAATAAATAAATAAATAAAAGTCAACAAATGAAAACATTTTTATGCCTATGATAAATAGATTTCATTTTATTTGGTGTGACAATGGCTTCAGATTGTCGGAGAACATCTTATTGTCTCAGCAAAGAGTCAAAAAAACATACAGTGAATTTTCTCAATCCAGAAACACGTTTTATTCCAAAATGTTCAGTACATGTGGGAGGATAGTAAAAAGCAAAATGAGAAACATTGACATAATATTCGACTTATGTCTTGCCAAATTCACATGGAGGCAAATATTTAGCTGATTAATCTTTAAAAAATATTTCTGGAAAAGTAAACCAATAATTTACAAATACAAACAAATTGGTCGTGTCTTAAAGTAGAGTTGCAAAAAGACTCCAAAAGTAAACTCAAACATACGAAAACAAAATAATATGAAAAGTGAAAAATGTTGATTTTTCACAGTATTGTTTAACATTGGTTATCATTTTTAGCAGGAGGTTTAGTCTTTTTTTTGTTTTATAATTTGATAGAAGTTTTCAAATTTGAAGAATTACCCATTTTAGAGTTTCACCAAATTATTACAAATTATTTACCAATATTATATATATATATATATAT